GATGCTTATGATGATGATGATGCTTATGATGATGATGATGCTTATGATGATGATGATGCTTATGATGATGATGATGCTTATGATGATGCTTATGATGATGATGATGCTTATGATGATGATGATGCTTATGATGATGATGATGCTTATGATGATGATGATGCTTATGATGATGATGATGATTTTACAAACCTGTAATTTGAAAATGATGCCTGAGCAGTTTCCTGACCTGGAGTCGCAAATTTTCAATATATACATACAAAAAACACACGCGCACACACACGCACGCACACACACATACAAACAACAACCTTTTTGGAGACGATAAGAAAGAGACCGCAGCTGATGAAAGTGATATAGTAGCCAGGGTAGAAACCATGCCAGAGGGCACTGAAGATGAAAACGGCGAACACGCTTCGAGTCCGTTCGTAAACTACGTGTCGCAGCCAATAATTCGTCGTCTTGTTCCAATTATCTATGAACTGTTTTATGCCTGTTGCCAGCTGTATGGATGTTTGTATGTGCGTGTGTGTGTGTAATGTATGTGTGTGTGCATGTGTGCGTGTGTGTGCATGTGTGTAGGTTTTTTAACCGACCGACCAACCTCAGTCTTACTGATGACAGCATTATCAACGAGATCCCACCGGGCCTCACCATGAGCATTGTAACCATTGAACCCCAGACCAGCTGATATATTGCTTGCTTCACCTTTATTCGTTTATTTGTTTGTGCTTTTATTCATTCATTCGTTCGTTCATTCGTATTTTCTTTCATTAATTCATTCGTTTATAGTTCACATACACGTTTTTTATTAATTCTTCAATCCATTCAATCCTTAATTTGTTTGCTCTTTCATTCGTTCATTCCTTCCTTCATTTACTCCTTTATTCGCTCATTCATTTAGTTGTTAATTCTTAAAGAAAAAAGAATAACCAGCTCACCCAAAGACCAAGCAAAATAATATTTGTATCTATGTATGCAGCTAACAAAGACAACCAAACAATTCTTGTATAAAAATGACTGTTCTGAGAACTCCATGCCTAAAATTAGAAAATGGTGAGGATGATAATGATGACGATGTGATGATGATGATGATCATCATCATAACCTTCATCGTCACTATCACCACCAACATCACCATCACGACTCACTCATCAGAATGGTGCAAGGGAAGTGAGGCATAACAAAGATAGTGATGCAACCAAATATTGCAGCAACCAATAATTTCTTTACAACTGTCAACTGAAATGTGATTGGTTGACTGATTAGCTGATTGGTTGACTGATTAGTTAATTGATTGATTGGTTGACTGATTAGTTAATTGATTGATTGATTGATTGACATATATTCTAACCCCCGGTGACGGAATTAGTTCAGGATGTTTGGACTGTTGAGTTAGAAAAAAAATTTTCAATTGTACTTCATTATTTTACATTTAATCATAATAACAATTAGTTTAGGTAAATAATAAGTTATATAAAAATATAAATTAACTTTTAAAAATTGACTGCCATCTATGAAATCAGAATACTCTTTGAAGAAGCAAAACGGCCCACACATAATGGAATGAAAGCAGAAGATGTAACTGTAGTATTCATGCAACCTCGGAACATTCCTGATTTTTATTTACAGTCAGGGGACGTTTTGTCATTGGTTGGTTGGTAGAATAAGTGATTGGTTAGTGTTGGGTAGTTACTTCAATGTGTTTTCATTTTAGTATAATCTAAGGCTTTTAAGCTTCATATTCATTTTCATATTCATTTTATTAATTCCTACATACACACACGCACACACATACTTTAAAGAAACTCGAGTCATATTTTCAGTAATCCTAACATTGTACACATTTCCATCATAAATATTGTAAGCTAGGCTGGTCACTTTCTGCACCACTATCATTAAGGGCCTGTCATATTTTTATTTACAATAATAATAATTACAATAATAATAATTACAATAATGATAATAATAATAACCCGGTGACATCTAACGTATAACCACCATAGTCGTATATCATTCTTGTGATGTGGCAATATCCTAAATAGCCCATGTTAAACAGTAGGACTACCTGAAAAATGTATTGTAAAATGCTGATGACAGAGAGGAGAGAGAGAAAGAAGAAAGAGAGAGAGGTGGGAGAGAAGGTAAAAAGAAAGAATAAAAACAGAGAGTATAATGCCTAACTTTTTCCATGATTCCAAAAGGTAGAATTTTCATGAAGATGTATGAAGCAAAACTTGGAATTAAAATGTGGACTATCTGTCTGTATATTTTAAGCAAGTATAAATCCTTTTGATCAATAAATCAATTTTTTAACATAGAAGAAAATATATTAATTTTTATATTTTAAAACTTCACTGACTTTCCATAGCAGAAGTATATGATGTATATGCCAATGGAGAGTTCAACTAAATGCCTAATTGTGGCCCCAAATATTTTAGGACTTACAAGAAGTCGAAAAATTGTACCAAGAAATATGGCAGCCATGTGAGCAGCAAAAAAATTTATCTGAAATTTTCAAAGATTGTGTGAAAATAAATAAATTATTAATATGACTATCACCATAATAATAATAAATAATGTGTTACTATTAATTATTCAATACAATACACAACTGTTGATTTCACTGACTTATCTTATTTTATTTTGCACACCCCTGGACCCCATCTTTCTTACCTGATCTAACGGAACATTGAATTGCTGACTGACGGGCGATAATAGCTCCGATCCGTCAAAGAACTGATTGCCTTTCATGTCGGCAACAACCTTGCCCGGCATGTCAATCTTCCAATTGTTGTCTTTCCAATCCAACAACCGCTGTATTAGGTATTTCATTTTTTATTCTGACCAAGTTTGGTGACGAGAATTTGTTTAAACTGTAAACTATTAAATCTGGCCTATGGATCAGATTAGTGTTTGAAATTAGTGCCGGGGTGGACCAGTGCGAGCGGTTGCGATTGTGAAAGAGAAGAATATCGACATGAGGCGACTTCTTTGTTATTGTTTATTGCATGTGTGCGTTTCGATGTTGAATTTATTTAATGAAAGAACCTAAAGGTTCTTTCATTAAATATTAAATATGAGAACCTTTATAGTTTTCATTAAATAAATTAGGTTCACGTTAGTATAGCCGGTAGCAGTCTATGGTTCGGACGGTTGGACACTGAAAAAGGATGATGAAAGAAGAATTGAAGCAATGGGTGTCATGGAAAGAAAAAAAAACGAACGAATTGGTTCTAAAAAGAAGGATGGAGTACAGCGAAAATTACTGTCTGAAGCCAAAAAAAAATCATGCTATATTGGTCAAATCTTCAAAAACATTACTGCATGGAAAATGATTTAATACAATGGACACTGTCCAGATCAAAGCGACAGAAAGGATTTGACCGATTTTAAAATGGAACAGATGCTGAGACAGACGCAAGACAGAGTTAACTGGATATAATATAAGATGTGTATATATTAATACATATATATGGTACATATATATGTATACCATATTTGAATGATGCGTATATATATATATAACTATGTTACATAGAAGACTTAGGTGTGGCTTTAGTTTTAGATTCAATATTATTTACAAATTAGTTTTTAAATTCGTGCAATTCATTTTTATTTTTTTGCCTCCAAGTTCCATTCACATAAGTATAGAGTATATAGTTCCTTTTAAACTGGATTATCATTTTTGATACCTTTTCAAAAGTGCGGTGTACATGTACACATTGATTCTTCTTCGCTGTCAACTCATACCGGCCATTTTACTTTTTCTCGATCGTCATCGAAGAGAAAGTTTTTGTGACCCCACTAATTTCCAGACCACTAAAATTAATTAGTTTTTATTTTAATTGAAACTTAGTGAGTTAATTTTGAATTTTAAAAAATGTGTGGAGGCGGATCTTGCTTGAGTTGTATAGGTTACATCCTCCTAAATTTGAGCATCCTGGCTTGCCTGGCTGCATTCTGTTCGCCATTCTGGTTAGAATACAATCTCACCTTTAAAGGGGCTTTTAGCGATCCACTGAATAGTTTAAAGAGCTTCTCCACAAAATGGGAGGGTCTGTGGGGAGAGTGTGACAAGGATATGCAGTGCCGCTGGGTCTGGCAGGATGATTTTGCATTGGAAAAGACCCTTCCAGGTTTTTTTCAAGTTTTAAGAGATGTTTTTTAAAATACTATCTGCTATTTATATGCTAACTTGTTAACGTACCATTAATTAATTATGTAGTGTGTTAGTGTGTTAAAAGTTTAATTAATTATATTTGATTTAAAATTCTTTTAGATTGGAAAAAGGCATCTCAGGGCTTGTATGCAGGTGGTGTCGTCTTGATCCTTGTTTCAGTGCTCATCTCTTCATTGCACCTCTGCTGCTGCTGTTGTAAAGGATCATTCTCCATTCGTTCTGCCATGGGAAGTCTTGTGCTTGCCGGAGGTTCCCATTAAATTAAATCATTCGTATCTTTCTTTCTTCTGCCAATGCATTGTTTTTATAGATTTCTTAGAATTTAAATTTAATTTCAATTTTTTTACATTATTTTTAAACTTCCGCAGTACTGTGCATTGCTGCTTCCCTGGCAGTGTATGGAGGATTTTTGTACAAGGAGGATAAACTTTCAGAAGCCCTGACATTTGCCTGGGGCTACTACCTTGGCATCGCTGGGGTGTGTGCCTGTTTTGTCGCTTCCCTCTTGTTCTTCCTCGATGGATGCTTCAACAGGAATCACGAAGGGTACCACATGACACGCGTTGTTTAAAAGTTAAATACTCTCTGCCGTGTGCACACTCTTGTATTGTTGTGGGTGACGATAAACAATTGGGACATGTGTATATGTATATAGTGATGAGGTGGGTGTGTGAATGAATAACATATATTTTTTTATAAAATCTTAGAGGGTCTTACCTGGATCTATATGAACAACAAACAAATGTGTACAACTTACATGTTGGTAGGTAAGATTTTTGTTGTATCTACCTATGTATAACAAGTTTTGTGTGCTGGCTTTCTGTGTAATCTTTATATATTATAATGTTGTTCTAAAATTAGTAATCAAATCATGCTATATTTAAAAATACATGTCCATTTTTCAACTCTAATTATATTAATTGGTATTCTAGGAGATCTATTTTTAGATTTTCATCTATCCAATAGCTAATCAGAGAAGTTTTTTGTATGTAATTTTTAATTTAATTTTATTTGTTCGTTACTTTAAATTTATTTTTGATTGAAGATTTTGGTTCAGTTCCATACTCTAGCTTATATAGATATTTATGTTTTTATCTACAGAGATAGAATTAAGATTTTATAAATGATCAGAATTCAATACTAGCAATTACTTTAATACTTCAAGAATGATATATGTTCTTTTAGTAATTCACCCTACCTTACGTTATGCTCTACCAAAATTATTTTTAATAATTTTATTTTATAGTTTAAATATCGTGAAATCTTTGTCGTTTTTATGTTTTTGTTTTTTGATTACATTTTTTCATTTTTACATTGATTACATGAATGATTGGTTGTATGGATGATTGAATGAATGGTTAATTGATCGAATAAAGTGAAGTTCCATTGTGTCATTTTATAAAAATTAATTTACAATCTATGCTGAATTTTTTAAATGATGCTTTTAAATAAATTTATTTTCCATTGTATTCCATATTTTCTAAATATGGAATACAGTTCTCACATAATGAAAATTTACCGTTAGTTACTTATTATTTCAAACATTTATTTGTTCATTTTAAATATTCACATTATATATATATGTGTGTGTGTGTCAGTTTGTCTGTCTATATATGTATTATTTTAAGATTCAGTTTAATTTATTTTGATAGCCTATTTTATTCTATATGAGTATATTTTATTTTTAAATATATAAAAACATCCTCTATAGTTCAATTCCATCTGAGCATTGTAAAAGCTAATTGATAAGTTTATTTATTATCATTTGCATTTTTGTTAATTATTTCACTAAATTCTTCAGTACATACTCGCCATTATATTGCACATGCGTACCGTATGTATATGTACGTACACACGTTTCAACTATCTATAAAACAAATGATGATGATGATGTTGGTGGTGGTAGATAATTACTGATGTTTATTTGATGTCTTAAGAAGTAGTTGTACTAGTGGCTCTTTAAATGTCTATGCCTCAGCTGCAAATGTTTATTTTACACGTTTCAAAGTTCGACTGAGATGAATGAACATTTGAATACGAGGCATCATCTTTTCATTGGATGGATGGATGGATGGTGGTGATGGTGATGGTGGTGGTGGTGGTGGTACTGGTGTTCAGACAGACTCATGTGTTACTGTACGACGTGTGTTCAGATCTTATTCATGTTATTTTTTGTGAAGAAGTTGTCATGTCACATTATCATCGATGCTATTTCACTGTTACAATCACCATGAAAGATTTGTATTTGAAATAGGTGCATGTATGTGTAGGTATATAATTAACATCATTATACATTCATACATACATACCTACTCTACTTATATGTACGTACATATACAGTTTATATCATATGCACTTATTCACGTTATTATTATTACTATTGCTAATGACATACTTAACTAATTCTTTTGTAAAATTTTCTACTGGATGAATAAGTGAGCAATGATAACGACTAGATGAATGCGTGTATAGTGCATGATGCATGCATGCATTTTGTGGCTTGTATGTGCTAGCATGTGAATATTTATATATATATATATATATATATATATATATATATATATATATATATATATATATATACACACACATATGTATACGTAATAGATCTTCGTGTTTTATTCATTATGTTATTCTCCTGCTAGATAATCATGTAGAAACAATTCCATTATTATTGGCTCATAGGTGTTTTATTTTTTCGTTTTTTTTTCATTTGTGTCATTCAACCATTTTTTTTTTATTTTCGGAGAAATGTTTTTGAGTGGAGGCATGTTTTCCAGATGATGTCATTCTAACGTTTTGTTTTGCTTTGTTTACTTATTTGAAATTTTTAAATGAAATTTAAAACCTACAACCTCCCCCCATCCAACGAAATTATATGGTCTCTATCTATCTAACCATCATCGCCCTCTTCATCATCATCGTCGTCGTCATCATTGGTTGTAGTCACTGCTGTTATGTCATCACCAAAATCTCCATTATCACTCCACCATCACCACCACCATCATCATCATCGTTTCGTCGTCAACATCTTACGATCATCATCAGCATCATCTTCTCCTGTTCATAACAGTTTTTGAACCAGCTGACGGTAGGTGGGTGATTAATTTTGAACGTTTTAACGCATCATCATGTGATCGCCGTTTTTGGCGGTTTTTGCGTTTGTCTCTCTCTCTTTCCTCTCTCTCTCTCTCTCTCTCTCTCTCTCTCTCTCTCTCTCTCTCTCTCTCTCTCTCTTTCTCTCTACGATATTCATAATGATGAATGTGATGGTGATGATGTAGCTAATTGTTGCTGGTTTCTCCTCTTTCTCTCTTATTCTATACTGTCTCTTATTCTATACTGTCTCTTATTCTATATAAATTTATAGATAAATAGATTGCATGTGTTTGTTATTAAAATAATTTCCTGTCCTCGTAAAGCCACAACGATATACATAAATAATAGCAAAACCAGATTTGATCGCCTGCATCCGCCGATCATTATTTCTTGTGTGCATCTGTGTGTGTGTGTGTGTGTTCGTCTTCATTCTATTCTAAAAGATAACCTTGATATTATGCATTTTGGTCATTCTTCAACTTCATCCATTCGCCGAGAATTTTATGATATTTCTATAACTGTTATCTGTTGCTGTTATTATTATTATTATTCTCATGCTAGCTATCTATCTGTGGACAAAATTAATAAATGAATGTGATTAACTGAAGAATGATTGGTTGGTCGGTCGGTCGTCTGTGTGCACTCCAGTTTATATAACGCTGGCTTCACTAATTATATGATCACTCGTTCATTCATCCATTTAACTTTTTTCATTTAAATTATTTGTAATTAAATAAATGAGTCGAGTTAATCATTTATTCATTCATTCATTCACTTACTTACTTACATAACAGTGTTGAATTCAAATGACATTCATCTTATATAGACCTTCACATAAAGCTTATTTTCATATATATATATATATATATATATATATATATATATATATATATATATATATTATATAATGTATACAAATATACAAATTTATATTTACATCACAAAAGGCACAATAAATTGTCGTGGATGTGCGTGGCATTCTAAATTGTACTCATTTATTCATTCATTCACTAAATATGGTTGTACTGTAGTGAGTCTACATATTCATCAATGTGATGTATACCTACACACCTACATTTATTAATTCGTCTGTCTGTCTCCTCTGTCTGTCTGCCTGTCTGTCTGTCTGCCTGTCTGTCTGTCTGCTAACGGCTATTCAATGCTATTCATTGTCGTCGTCGTTATCATGTTTATATTTTACAGACATTAATTACTTACATTTGGTTTTAAAATTCTTCCATCTAGTGATTGTTTCATTTGCTATCTCACAGCAGGAAAGCTCCACCGTCGATATATTATTACTTTTTATTTTCAGTATCTTATCAATTTGGGATGTTTGCAGAGCTCTTCTATAACGAACAAACATCCAGACATACAAACACATATTCGGAAATTAAGCACAAGAGGAATATACAGACATGCATAGGCAACTATCACGAGTATATATTCAGCTACTATGCAGTACGTACATAATTACATACACGTACGCACATGTGCATTCAATTGTTTGTTCGTTCAAGAGCTCGAAGTTTCCCGCTGTTGTTTATTAGTTGATTTTTATTTTCTATACGCACGTGTGTGTGTGTGTGTTCGTATGTGTGTGTGTGTGTGTTTACTATTATACTCCGCACGCACACACGCACGCACAATCATCATCTTATTGTAATTGTGTTGTAGTGAATCTTGTAATCGGAGCGAACAACAGTTTTGTGCTTACGTAACAATTCGTTTATCTTAATGTCTTTAATTTGATTTCAAACATGCAACTTATGATAACTATTATAATTTAAATGAAAATATTAATTATTTCAATCCTTATTCCTACTGTAATTATTTATAGAGTATAATGTAATAATAATTATTATTTTCATTTCATTTATTCATTGGCTTTTGATCAATTCTTTCAATATTATGTGTCTGTAAACTTGTTGTATTTTGATTTTTTATTTCACTATAATTAAAAACTTTTATGTGTGTGAGTGTGTGTATGTGTGCGAGTGTGTGTGTGTGTGAGTGATAAGTGAACTGTGCATTACCAATTGCTACTAATCTGATAGGAATACTCTGCAGTTCTGCTGATAAAGTGTTTCTTGAAGAATGAATGGGTGAGATAGCAAGTGAATGAGTTAATGGAATATTAATTAGTATTTATAATTAATTAAATAAATGAATGAATGATAAATATTGTGGGATAATAATTAGAACTGCTGTAAATTATTATTCCCAGTGAGAAGCGTAATTGTGATTACTGTGATGCTAATTGTTTGTTTTACACGTCATGATTTCCTCCCATCTCTCTCTCTCTCTCTCTCTCTCTCTCCCTTTCTTTCCCTTTCTCTTTCTTACTTTTTTCCTCATAATTTTGTTTATCTGAAGCTAATGCGTGTTATTTTATCGTTATTATCTCGCTAATTTGCTATTGCGACGTTTGTGACGATGGTGGTGACGGCGATGGTGAAGCAGATTTTAAATTTAATTTACAGCGAAAGTAAAGCAGTGAACGCTGATGAATGATCGATGCTGGTTGGTTAGGTTGGTGTTGTATAATATATATGAATTGAATGGATCAGTCGCACCGTGTAAAGCAGGAACGTCACATGTTTATTATTATTACTATAATCCAATTATATACACAATTTAATTGAGTCTATTGGTAGCTGAGATTGTAGGCTAAGCGAACAAACCCAGCTGCCAATATAATTGCAAATAATATGACGATGATAGCGATGATAATAATAGTAGCTGTTTCAATGACTCCTCTCGTACGTTTAGTTGCAACTTCGCAAAAGTTTTGTTACCGAGGCGATTGGTCGAAGCACCATGAGCTTCGAACAGCCGCCTGCACCAACAACAAGACCTGTGCCATTATGCTGAAAACTGCTGGTTTGTTTCTTCAGGCGTGTGTGTGTGTGTGTGTGTGTATCAATATATCCTGTTTTTATTTTGCCTTCCACTTCTGTTTCGGTAGCTTTATCTGTTTGTCTGCTCTATTAATAATTTATTGTTGTTTCTAGGGACGGTAGAGTTCTTGGTTTGGTTGATCAACTATGAATAATTTAATGCATGCTTTCCGAAGGTGATGAACAATTTAATACATGTATTTTAGATTATGGCGAGACCAAACAGGCAAGAGCTCTGTGTTTTGTGCAGTTTTCAGAGAACATGACTTTCTACAAGAAAGTTATCGAGTTTCATTCGGGAAGGAAGTTTCAGACGATCGCCATCTTCATGTGTAGTCTTGAGAAATGTAACGACAGGCGCCAATATGCAGAACTTCTCAAGAATTATCAGTCGAAACAATTCGAGTTAAACGCGGTTGGCGAGAAATCAAAAAATGAGGATGCCAATAAAAATGACAATAATAAAGTTATGAGAAAAGTTTTGATCAAGTACTACGTCAATAAAGATGAAGCAAAGTTCAACATACTCGAAGTTGAGGTGCCGAAGAGTGTTGCTGCTAACTCGCTTGATGGCAGCAGAATTGATCGCAATTTCTATTACCACGAAGATAAGGATTTTGGATATCCATCTATTTTTCAACCAGTAGATGATGGAGAAGCAGATAGTGCCGTTGATAAGATAAATCCTCTTGAGTTCATGAATGAAGAGTACAACATCAATTAAGAAATGTCAAAAATGATTTGAATTTATCTATTCAACATGTTGACTTATCAATGATTTGTTAATTTGATAGCTGAATTCGTTTTAGTTCGCGAATTCAGTGAAGGCACTAACGGTGAAGACGATGGGCTTTAGTGCATACCAAATAAATTTAAATGTTTAGCGTTACATAATTTTTTTAATACTCATCCGATAACATTTGTTATCTAGTTTCACATTTCATCTATACTGGTTAATAAAGGACTTGGTGTTTTATGATTTGGAAGAGGCGTTACTAGTCCATAATATTTCATTTTCACGGTCAAAAAAATATAAAAATGTTTCATCAATATTTTCCAATTTGTGTGGCCCTTGTTGGTTAGTTTCCACAAACAATTAACAACAATAATAATCACATTCATTTGTCAATTAATCAGTTGTCAATCTCACTCAACAACTCAACCAATCAGTCATCACTTCCTTCATTTATTTATTATTCTTTAAAAACAAAACATGTCATATTAAAGTAAATTTATATAATTTTTCCAAGAATTATTTGTCTGTAATGTAATTAGTTTGTAATTTTTAGTGGTTAAGTTTTAAAAATGTGATTTTTAGTGATAAGATAGTCAGTGGTAACATCAAAAGTGTGTGGTGTTGTTCATTTTGATTTGATATTTTGATGAACTTTAATTTTTACTAAATTTTGTTAATAATTATTCATCATTATATTAGTTCATGATATTAAAAAAATAATTAAAAAAAAATGTTTTGTGAAGGCATTTGTGGTTCAGTCTAAATCTAAATTTAAAAGCTTAAGTTAGGTTCTGTTAATAAATTTTTCTGTAATAGAAATAGAAAGAAGTAAATATCAAAAATTGAACTAACAGTATTGGTGGCCGGTGATAATGGCAACGAAACAACCAGTGATCCGAAACCTTCAACGAAATTGCCACTAGTCACCACAACATCCACCCCTTACACTCCATCCAAGGACCCAATCACTAATCTGTATGCACTGAAAAGTCAGGATGGAAATTACTGCATCATGGTGAAGGCTGCGTTGAGATTGGGATTTCAATATAAAAACCCTGATGATAAAGTAAGACTGATTTTTTTTATTTTTAAAACATTCCTTACTAAATTTTAGTGAATCAAATAATTTTTATTCAATTTTATAATTAAAAATTTTTGAAAAATATTTTTTAGGACCTGTTTGGTTATGTTGACATACCAGGCGAGAAAAATGGAACATTAGTTACTGGAAATTGTTCAGTTGTTAACAATGCACAAGTGTTGATTTTAAAATTCCTAAACAACTGGTCTATGAATTTCACTTTCAAACAAAACACAACGCTGAAGGAATACAATTTGGAAAGCATAAGCATCAAGTATGACATCCAGCATAACAATCAACCATTTCCCGATGCAAAAAGTCTTAATGGAGGTTGACTCTATGATAACTTATCAATTTATTCATCATTTATCTTTAATGTGCTAATTTATTATTACTTATTCACTGTTTCAGCATTATTGTTTAAGACATTTTATCTTCCAATCACATATTTTTTAAAATCTTCAATGGCATTGTTGGGTTTTACAGTATAAAATCACATGTGAATTTATAGTATTTGAGTTTAGCTTGGTATTAATCTTTCCCCCTGCTAATAGAAACTACATTTGCAATGGAAGATGGGCACGTAAAGGTGCTAGGAAGTTACATGTGTTTCAGTCAGAGAGTGTTCAACATCAATTCAAATTCATCCGAAAAATTGGGCCTGATGAATTTGACAACTATAAATGAACAATATCAAGCTTTTGTCAATGTTTCTGAAATCTTTTTCAGCCAGGCTGGTTAGTAATGATTTCATTATTATTTTATTCTTACCATCATTTCATAATTAATTTTATTATAGCTACTTATAATGTTCGTTATAGCTGCAGTAGTAAAATGAGTTGTGATGGAAAGCACGAATCTTGCTTCACTTATTACACTCAATAAAATGTTGCATAATGTTCTTTAACATTTATATTTCACCCATTCAGTGAAACGTTGTGATCAAGATTCAGTGAGTAACTTGATTCCAATCGTCGTTGGGGCTGCCCTCTGCGCCCTCATCGTTCTCGTCCTCGTCGCCTACCTCATTGGCCGCCACCACAAGAGAGGGTACGAATCAGTCTGAAGAATTTGATTGGTTGCTTGAAAAGTTGTTAGTTACTTGATGGGTGTAATTAGTTATTCAGTTGGATGTGATTAGTGTTAGGTGTGAGTTAGAACCGAACAGATCTTGGTTATCGATTGAAAATTATGTTTTTATAAAAAATTTAAGTTAACACCCTCTGAGAAAAATAAATGAAAAAATTGTAATAGAAATTATAACCTGTCATCCTGTTTGAAAAAGTTAACAACTGTTGTTAATATGTCAGAAGATCAACATATAGAAATTTATTTTTCGTAATCGTATTCAAAAGTCTTTACTGGATGCATATATATCTGTACTCACTTGCGTTTGTATCAATTGTATACAGACCGTATATACACAGATTATATATTTATGTTTATATATATATATATATACACATCCGCAAATCAATTAATGTTTCAAAATACTTAAAAAATTCAATGACGCAAATGCGCCAAGATTTATAACCGATGGAACTTGTAATGGTGAGTGTGGTTATTGTTGCACTGATGTTGCATCGTAAATACTAACATTATCACTATTATAATATATTAGTTTGTAAGTTTTTATAGGGTGGTTATTCGAAATTAGCAATAAATAGGCAAACAGTGAATCATAAAGGAATGAATAAAAACGTTCTTGAGAATTTTCTTGTGTTTAGTTTATTTTCAAGTAATGTACATTCACGGGCATATTATATTTATTTGTCTGTTGCTTTTTCTTTCATCGTTGTTGTGTCGCCGAGCGTATCTGTATTTTCTTGTCATGTTAACTATTTTTACGTGTTTAGATGGTTTATTTTCTTCTGTTTGGTGCATCAAACATCTTGCGAGTTTTTTCTTCATTATTATTTGAAATTTTCATTTGAAGTTTGTATGCTGAAAAAAATAGTAAAATGATTTATGTGAGGTAAGGAAGATTAAATGTAGGTACATCATATAACATTCTGTTGCATCTAGTGAGACAATTAGTGAGATTCCTGATTAAGAAATTTTTTATTTTTCGTAATCATTGAAATATAAATTCATTTTTGTTTTCATTCTTGGGTAGTATCAATAAAAAAAAGAAAATGTGTTAACAGTTATACTATTGAACGTAAAAAGCTGCTGATATAATATGATAGGTTTCTCATTATTAATTAGTTATTGTGATTGGGTGTAAATATTTTTGCCGCCGTAGAAATATTTTTCATTCAGTGCATTCTTCTAATTCGTTCTCGTCATCAAGGCTCCATCTATCTTATTATCATCATCGTTGTTATTATCATCATTATAATTTGCCATGAAGTAATTATCATCTCCGTACATGCCACTTAACAACTGGTTACCACTGAGTGATGAGATAGGAATTGAACTGTGGTGGGTTCCATCGAGACTGTCGTGTCTCACGTACGGGATTATTGTTCTATAATTCGGATTGCACCATGCAATTGATTTTCTGAAGGAAAAATTCTGACCCCCACTCGACTGCTCGTTCTTACCAGCTTCACTATCGTTCTCATGGTTCCTAATCAAACTGCCCAATCCAGATTCATTGCTACTCGACGATGACGAAAAGGAAGTTGGTCTCATATAGTCAGTTGAATTAGACATGACGTCAGAAAAATTATTTAGTTCTTTGTTTTTAGTTGATATTTCATTAGCGGTGTTACTTTTTACAATGACGGCATCATTACCTGTTCTCTCGTAGAGGCTGAACGTGGATTTGAACATACCAAGACTCGATATGTCTGCATACACATCGACTGGTTTCATCGTGTTCTGCCCGGAAAAAAATTAAAAATTATAACAATCAGTGCTATAAATAATCTCAACTATATGTTAGCAAATTAACAAGTGAATATTAGGTAACAATAACCAACACCAATGAAACTTGTGATATGGAATCTGGAAAAGAGTGAGAACGAATAATTGAAAAAGAGAAATAGAATTGAGAGAAAAATAAAATGACTGAGAGAGAGAGAGGGAGAGCGACAATGAGATAGAAAGAACGAAAAATAACACCTGAGCAGCAGGAACTTTGATGTTGATACGTTTGGTTCTGCTTTTCCGCCATCTAGTATGTCGAGATTTAGTTAGATATTTATAACAATCATTTCTTTGACGCATGTTCAGTTAGGAGTAACACTTTTTAAAATTTTTAAGACGCGAGACTTGACTTATTAGTCTTAAATTCAATTTTATTGGTGTGAGTAAATAATCAATTTCTCTGTTAATAATTTAAAACTGAAAACACCTGAACAAACTAACAAATTAAAGAAACAAACAAAGGAGTAAGGATAAAATAACGAATTGATAGGAACAAGAAACACAAACTTGGTAGCAGAAAATATGACAGCAGCAGACAATACGAGACCAATAACTATGTAGATGATGATCACTTCAAAGTTTTTTCGGTTTGATGCCGCTAGTTTTCGTGAAGTTATAAAGAATTTGTCAAAAATTTCAATATGAATCACAACGTCTGAGTTAAATCAACGCCAAGCGTTAACCATGACTAAAATTTACGAATTGTATGCTTTATAAAATCAGCCATTTAATTAAAAATTAAATCATAACACTACTTCCATCATATTCTCGCCATCTTTCAATGTCAATTTATTAATTATCTCATTTCCGTGCTGAACCAAACTTTTAGGATTTCCACCCGTTCATTTGGCATTTAATAAACATCAGAGGTTCACGAGCGTATTATACATACAAACAGTCACATACAAATACGTACACCTACAACTGCAAGTACAAATACTTATTTAGAAACACACAATACAAAACCGAAAGAGATGAAAAAATAAAAGAACATAAAAATCAAATCCCGTCAAGAAACATTAATCAATAGATAACAAACAGATTCAGGCAATATAAATACTTCACAAATATGCAAATAAATAAACTAACAATCATTTTTATTTTAAACGTATACCATTATAAATGGGAACTTCTGCACAATATCGTTCATTCAACCTGCAATATCTCATGATGTAATGGTTCAAATTGCAGTCTTTGCAGTAATTTGATGCTGTGAGTTTAGGCGTATGTTTCAATTTTTCGCCACTATTTGGCACCATGTCATCAAATATTTCCACTTCTGGATATTTCAAAAGATAATACAAACAATGAAACCGAAATTTAAAAAAACTTATTTAATATTTAATAGGAAGAGTCATATTTACTCCTGTCGAGATCAAACTTGCACAAGAACTCAGTTACTTCCTGGGAAAAACAATGGCGATGGTGATCGTCACCATCGCCGTCATCATCATCAACAAACTTCTTTTCATCACTACACCTGATGGCAGCTAAGTGGAATGAGAAGTTGTGATGATGATGATGTCTCAAGGAAAAAGATTTATTGAATGATTTTATATTTCCACCATCACCATCTTCATAACCAACATCCTTCTTGATGTCTTCTATGAATATTATATCATTCTATAAATAATAAATTATTAATTAATGATCAATAAAACCTTAGACAACAATTATAATCAATCATACTTTTAATCTATCTCTGATAAAAATTCTATAAATAGAATCTTTGATAACGACAGCAGACCAATGCAATGCAATCAAATCATCATTTTCAGATAACAGAATTAGTTGGTTTGTGGGGGCATATTCTTCGTGATTACCTTGTTTGTGATATTTAATAATGTTGTTTTAAGTTCTGTCATGTTTTTTTGTTGTAATGTTTAGCAAGCAATTTAAATTTTTTAAAGCAATAAAGATACAGAATAAATATGTAATCAGCAACCACAAATCAATATTTAAAAAAGATTTTATTGATTGGTAAAATTCAAAATGGAGACACAAAAATTTGATCTCAACTTCCTTTTGTCTGTAGCTGATGAAAAACAACCAGAGACTTAGCATTACTGAATGTGATATTTAAGATAAAAGTGTAGTAGGAATTGTGTTTCAGGATGAATTTGTGCTCCCTTGTGTGCAACTTCATTGCAAACACATCAACATTCAAGTTGTTTTCATTACTGTTGTGGTCACCATTATTTATAGGAAGCAATCTTCTTTGAATTATACTCTGGCTTGATACATTTTCTTGAAAAACCTACAAATTTTTTTAAAACATTAATATTAATAGAATGGAGTAAATGTATCTCAAAGATAAAATGCATTATATACAGGAAAAAACAAGGTACATAAATTGACAAAAGCATGTTATATAATGATAATGAAAGTATTTAAAAAACATTAACTCACAATCCAACTGAGATTGATGACTATTATATGTTGTTCACTCTGTTCCACAACTTTGTGTCCTAATATACAGGCCTCGTAATCTGCACAAATTTGTTTACAAAAGTCAGAGTAAATCTGTTTCCACCTACAATATTAGTTATACTAATATTGTAAAATATAGAAAACAATAAGATATGAATATAAATACCTAATTTTGACGCATTTGTATTTCTTATGCTGTCTACAATGAAGAAAATAGAGTTAATAAAATTTAAACTAAAGTGAATAAACAATAAAAATCAATTGAAATTTAAAATTTTATTTTCATTTGAATAAATCATTAAATAAATTTTAAATATATAAAACATTAGGTGAGAAAAATGAATTATCTATTTTATTGTATTGCATTTGTAAAATAAAATGATACTTTTTAAATTCAAATAACAACTAACAAAAAATAAAAACACAAAACAAAAAGAACAGTGAAACAAAATCTCTGAAAAAATAAATAAAAAGTAGAAAACCAAGCACGTACCACTGATTTCAGTATTAAATTTAAACTTGCTGCCTTTGAGGAACTCACGCAGGAGTTTATCGAAAATGAAGAAAGTGAAACTGTAGCCGACATCGTCCGTGTGTCGATCTCTTCCTGATCGTCTGCTCCATGTGCATGAATTCAACGTCGGATTCGGACATTCAAAAACTTCGCGATCATAATACGCAAAACTGATTGCATATGTTTAATTAACAATATTTCAAAAAATAATCTCGTAAATATTTAAAATTAATATGATGATAATAAAGATAATTCAATTTTTTGAAGAGAAAGATAACGACTCGCGACTGTACACGATGGTCCATCTAATATCTTCATTCGGCAGAGGTGCTTGAAAGGTGCATTTCATCAGCATCTTCTTCCTAGAAACATCACATCCCAAGATGCTCGCCCTGTTCATGCCGCACGCACTCATCTCACTTTGCACTTTGGTGGCAATTTTTTACGGAATTCGATTATGCAATTAAAGAAGTACACTTCAACACTCACAAGCTTCATTAAAAATATAAAATAAAATACAAATGAATGTCTCCAACCTGCCAGCAATTTGCAACAAAACAAAAATTGATAAATGAAGATCACTAAATCCATATTCGACAATTTGGAAGTCTTTCAGATTGTGATGTGAAGAGTTTTTAAACTTTTTAAAAAGGAAAACGGATGTACAAACAGCCAACACGATGATAACAAGAAATAAAGTATATACAATAACGTAAGACACTAATGTAAGTATACAAAGACAATACCCACTAACACATACATATGTGTGTGTGTGTGTGTTTGTATGGATACATTAACATCATATCTGTACCAATCCACACGTTAAATACAGCTAAGTAAAAGTTTGTTTTGAAGAGAAGCAATTAAAATTTTGAATCTTAAAGATATTCTTGGAATTATAAACTGTATGATTTTTCAATGTATGTGGGTATTGTTTGTGCGTGTTTCCTATAAGTGTGTATGTATGTGTGCTTGTTTGTATAATTAGTTTCAAAGATTTTTCTATGTAAATCTTGATAATAATAAAATGGTGAATAATAATAAGCTAACAAATTAATGATTCATAAACCGAGTATCCGTAAAGTTAATTAGATGATGAATGTAATTGATTTAATAATTGGCATTTTAAATACATAATGAACAGTCCTAATGAGGCAGATCTATCCTCAAACTCAGCAAATATTCCACATGTTCGGGCTCCAGCTTGAATACACCCACATCCTGCAGTGCTGCAATGGGGTCTGACACCTCAACCTTTGATTCGCAGGGATGTAGTGCCCTTTTCAACACATCCCTGATCAACATAGCCGACCCAGTGGTTAGTATTAGTACTGCACAGGCCTCTTTCACACTGAGGATGATGAATCATTCTTTAAATTAATCTTTAGGCTAATCTAAATAAATTTTCTTCAACATTTTATTTTAATAACTGAGATTAGATAGATATTTAAAATTAAAAAACCATTTGAAATGATTTTCAGGTTTGTTTGTGTAACTTGAGAACAGGGGGAAGAGATTTCGGGTCATGTCAAAATTCAACTGCATAGCTCCTCCCTCATTGAAGTGATTGACACATATAATCTATTTATAGATCAATCAATATATAATCAATTTATAACGACGAATATCTCATTTCAGACATATCATCATACACCTCAAATAAAAACACACAAGAAACTTTTAAATATAGTCCTTAATATGTTTATAGATAAATCATTGAGATATGCCATAAATTAGAAGCAAAAGTACAACTCTAAAAATAGGCACTCCTAAAGAAAGACAAACATTTTCATAGATGAACTTATCCAGCAAGTCAGCAACGTCCCTCCAGAGAACATTGAATAGAGAATTATTGAGTAGAGTTTCCATGCTGTCGAGTTGAACTTTCAACGTTTTGAACATGTGACAAGCCGAATTGGAGAGAGCCAAAGAGATGAACTCTTTATGCGAGGGGAGAGCCAGCCATCTTAAAAGTTCAAGGTCGTATATAAGGCGATGTTCTTCGTAATAATGACGAAGAAAAATAAGCTATTCATGCAAATGAATCACACGCGCACGTGTAAGCATGCCACACATGAAGACGTAGAAGACACGTACAACAAGCGAACACACAAACTTGTCTCTCATGTATGGTTTTGAGTTATTCTTAAACTCGTCAACGATTGAGTTCAAAATAGTTGCAAGCATATCTCTCTTCATCCCCTCGTATAATTCCATCATTCCATCAAATATCGTCTCGTCATTATCACCAACACCACCGTCACCATCATCATCATCGTCGTCGTCATCTTCTTCTGCATTATCATCAATGTTGGCAGCATTCATTATGTCGGTCTCGTTCTGCTTGATGTGAAAATTGAGAGAATTGTTATCAGAAAAACTGAATAACATTGCAATACAAAAAAATAAAAGCCCAGTAGAAGCTTAACCTGGCCCTGAAGCAACGAAAAACCATTCATGATTATTCATATATATCAATACTCATATATATATATATATATATACATACATGTGTGTATATATATATACATACATGTATATGTATATATATATTGATGAAAATCACAGCGTGTTCCAATAAATAGCCAGCCACAAACAAGAAGATACCTGCTTTGAAATCATTTTCTCAACCAATCCCATTTTTTCTCTGTCCATCCTTTTCTCTATTTTCTTCTTATGAAAATTCAACTTTATAAATAGCTGTTATGACGATGATGATGGTTATTGTTACTACCATGATGTTTAAAATGGTGTTGAAGATGGTTAAACAAAATGATGAAAATGATGAAATGACAACAGTTAAATCTCAAATGGTGTAATTGAAACGAAAGAAAGTATAAAAAGAAGAATACAAACAGGTTCGTTGGTCCATCTCTTAAAAACATCACAAAAATAAGTAACTGTATTCAAGATGGCCGCGTATTTGGGGTTTTCGATGACGTGATGTTGCTGTTGATGTTGGAAGAAAGTTGCAGACGACGATGACGTCACTGAGGTTAGTTGTTTCCTCAAGTGAACCAGACGAATCCTAAAATCATCAATGAGATCCAACTGAAGTTTGCTAAATTCCAATTGGCTATCAATGTCAGGTAGATGTTGGTATCTGTCTGTTGATTGGTCAGTGGCAGAGTCAAACTTTTGGTTTTCATCAACATAAAATAATACGATTTTCTTTAGCCAACCAATGAAAGGGCGACCTACCATGAATAGTGACCAGGAGAACGAGGAACAGTTCGGCGAAATGTGGAACCTTGCAATCGTCGACCTCCCCATTGACCATCATTAGCCACGCATCAGTCATCTCCATCATGGCGTCCATCTTTCGAAGAGCATCTGATAGGTTGTACGTGATCAGGGAGGGATGTGTTGAGTTTAAATACCTTATAATTGAATAACTTATGTAGCACTTGATTAGAAAAAAATAATTCTACAGTTATAAAAACAACCAACATGATTTCTCAATGGCAATCCATTTACAAAATATTGCCTTTTCAACCAAAACTTCAAGGATTCCAGAAAAAGATAGTGAATAAGAGAGTAGAGTCTGCATTTCATTGTTAAAATTAAGCGCCTCATCAACGTGATGTGCAAACAGCTGGTCATTATCAGCTAGGGACTTGTCATTTAAAAGTGAATTCAAGTCTTTATGCAGTTTGTCTGAAGCTAGGCAGACCAGCCCTTCGGCAAACTGGGACTAAGAATGATGATGTGGTGATATAATTTATTGTGGCAATGACGATGATGATTATTGAGATGATAACGATGATGATTGTCGTGATTATGATGATATCACATTGACAAGAAGAAGAGAACAGACCAAGACATCAATATGTTGGTAGCCAGCAGCATCAAAGTAATGTTGCAACTTGCTGGTGACGAAATCTTTCTGATCATTCAACCACATACTCAACTGAGTGAAGTACCATTCCGGCTGTCATAATAAAATAATTATGACATAATTATCACGTAATTAGGCCGTAATTATGATAATAATTATTAATATTAATTAACCTTTTCAATGCTGTTAGTTTTTTTGTGACCATAGAAATGAAAATTAAATCTTTTATGGAATGGTTGCAAGAAGAACTGAATGGGTAGGCTGATGCTGTGTTTAGTTTTACACTGAAATACTTGCTCAGCTTTTTCTGAACAACTTCTCCTGAGTTAAATTGAAAAAACTTTTTATAAATTTATTAATGAATGAGGAAATGCAAACAAAATAAAATCAAAAGCAAGATATTATTTACCTTTACATTTGATTAAAATTTTGACCTTCATAATTTTTCAATAAATTCATACTTTTGAACTAAATTAAAGTTTAAAATAGATAAAGGCCAAAAAAATTGTTGAGTAATTAATAAGAAAAATAAGGAAAAACAGACGGAAGCTGAATGTTCATAAGCAGTTTGATGAGGTGATGAAACTTGTTGATGTGCTGTTGTTCTGCAGTTTTTGTTGATGGTGTTGTTGATGATGTTGTTGTGTTTGTTGTCATTCCATTCTGCTTTTTCAGTGCTTTTGAGTTGGTTGAGGACGATGTGACTGGCCAGCCAAATGACTGCATCACTGACTCCATCTCTCTAGAGTCATTCAAACATTATCGTGATCAACGATGATGAAATGTAACAAAAACATGAAATGAAATTAATTGAATTGAGCATTTAATATTTATGAATTGAATGGTTACTTTGAAAATTTGGATAGGAACATGTTGTACCAGTATATAACAATGGATTCAGTATAATCTTTCAAATGTTTGCATTTAGTGTCTTTGATCTTTTGTAATAAATTTACCAAGTTTGCAAACCTTCTCACTGATTGGTCCATGTTTTCAATGAGCATAGACGATTGAATGAATGAACTGAAAAGTATATAAAATTATATTTAGAAATTTTTTAATTTCAAACTTGGAAAAAAATAATTATATATTAAAAACTTTCTGTCTATACATTAAAAAGTTTTAGAAGCATTAGAATTCTACCCCAAAAACTACTAAAATAGATAACATCACCTGACCTCTCATCTTCCAGATGATTTATAAACTCCAAATACTTGATGCACTTATCAATGTCTTCAATGTTAGTAACAGTCGTTTTAATGTCTGTAATTTCTCTTTCATAAATTGTCAGATGACTAGAAGTCCCTTCGCAGACAGCATCAATCTCAGAAATGAGTGTCCTGGCATCAGTGGTCAGTTCCTGGAGAACATCTTCCGTGTACGACTCTCTATCCGCATTTCTAGTTTCTATCAGATTAAGCTTAAACAATAAATTTGCATTGAATTAAAACACTTTTTAAATCAATATTTTAATGACGAGACAGAGTTTTAAAGAGGCTAAAGAAATGAAGAGATATCTTCTATCATTATCAACCTACCTGCTTCTCCAGATGATTTCTATCATCTTGTAATGTTTTTTCCACCGCATCCAGCTTCTGAAGAAAGTTTGACGGATCGACAAAGTCGCGGTTTACGAAATGAATGACTTCATTCCATGCTGCGCCATCTTCACAATTGTCCATTTGTTTCTGCTCTGTTTAATATTAAATGGAGATTAATTAGCCGTGAAAAACTTACTTTGCGGCTCTGGCATGACAAATTACGTGTAATGGACGTTAAGTTTACTTTTAATGTTATCGCTTTATATTATTAAAATGTTCATAGTTCTGTGGTTATATTTTTTATGGTCCCGTGTAAGATGCATCGTGTATTTTTTCGTTCGGTCCGTGTTGAAATTCAGGTACACCAGCAGACGGGCGAGTTATGTTTCTATCTCAAACATTAAAAAATGGACACAATCAGACCGTCACATGCATCGCATGCACTCAAAATAATGATAATAATGCCAATGAATTCATAAGCGGAAGTGAATTAGGTGAAGTATGTTTCTGGTCGGCAACCGATGGAAGATTAGTCAAAAAACTGCGGTTATCTGTTTGGGAGAATGATGACATTATGTGCATCAAATGTTCCGTTAAAAATCCCGAACAAGTTTTTGTATCAGCTAGTCACAAAGTGATTGTCTACGATTTGAAATATTTAGATAAACCGCTGCAGGAGCTGAGTTTTGCCGAAGATGAAATCAATGAAATCTCACTGAATGGCGAGGAATCACATTTAGCGGCCGCCGAAGATTCTGGAAACATTAAAGTTTTTGATTTGAGGTCATTTTTTATTGTTGTTACATCATTTATTAATTATTATCAATCATGTCACATTTATATTTTAAAAATTATGAAGATAGAATATTATAACTATTAGCTTGTACAGATACTAGACTGTAAAAATAATTTATTTTACTGTTGTATCTTTTCAATTCAAATGATTGAATGTTAGTATTAAGGCTGTTCTTATGTTGGTTTCATTTAAGATTTAATTTAAAAGTAATAAAAGTTTATCTGAAAAACTTTCACAGAGCAAACAAATTAATGAAGACACTAAGAAATCATGAAAACATATGTTCGGGAGTTTCATTCAGACCCAACAGGGCTGCAGAGTTGTTGAGTTGCAGTTTTGATCAGAAGCTCATCCATTGGGAATACTTGAAATCTAAAAGTTTTTGCATCTTAAATATGCAAGAGGTTATTAACTTTAGACTATTTAACAAATTAAATTTGAAATAAACTTGTTTTGAAAAATGTTAATTTGTTATTTTACAGGTTGGAGCACAACCAGATGATGAAGAAAATTATCTTGTGAATCCACCTTTCATTCATAGCTTATCTGTTAATTGCTCAGGTTCCCTTGTAGCTTGTGGAACGGAGAATGCATTAGTTCAAGTGTTTGATGGCAGTAAGAAAATTTTGAGACATGTGAAAACTTTGAGAAAACATCATAGAGGAGTGGCTCAGGTTCATTCTCTTTTGTTTCAATGTATCTGCACTGTTTTTTCTGTTTTTGCAAATGTAAGTTGTTTCATGTTCAATGATTTGTATCTAATTTACCGAATATTTAATTTTTATGTAATGTATTGAATCATACTGATTTTATTATGAATTGTTAGTTCATTGGATGAAAAATTGATGAGCCATTTAATCTTCAGGTTCACTTTCCGAGATTTGCAGAAAATCTCTTGTTATCAGCTGGCAACGATAATCTGCTCTGCCTGTGGGAACTTAACAACATCAGTCAGAACATTGATTACTCAAGAACGAATGGTAATCACTTGACAGCCAATCACAATTCACGCAACCGTTCTCAATCAACCAATGAGAGAACACCATTGTGGCAGATGAATCACTCAGAATCATTCAATTGGCTCTCATCTGGAATCAGTGGCAACTCTAAATTTTTATTGGTTGCAGATAATTCGACAGAACCTCTTGTTTTTACATATGCAGAATAACCCTATTTATATAATAATTTAAATCTTAAATAGTGAAAATCATTTTTTAGTCTTTCATTAACAAACCAAAAAGTATTTCAATTGAACATTTTCGTTCAATTTAGGGATGATTGAACAAGTGATAAAATGAAACAAACAAATAAAATAATGTTTGAACCAAAACAAATTCTTATGTGAAAATGTTTATTTACAAAACGTAAGTATAATGATCATCTTAATAACATCACCAATTATCAAATAACTGGAATGCTGACCGACCTGTCAAATACATGAAATACTTTTGAGAATTGTTTAACGTAAGTCACTAAGCAATGCTGCCAGTATAAATTATAAGATAAAGTAAAGTAGATGCTTTCTCGCTGCTGCACATGTTGTTAGTTGTATATTATGCCATGAGCCGCAAGTTGGTTCTTTAGTTAGTTAGTAATAAATAAAAAGAAAATATGCATTATCATTGTACTTATTCAAGCCTTTGTGATTATTTTGATGTCTTGGTGTCAGCTCATTCCAACATATTTATCAATTTCATATAACTTAAAAGAGTGTTTTTTTTGTAATTACAATAAGAATAAAATAATCATATGAAATGATCACAAAAAAATAACAAAAACAAAAAGAAGATATCAAGCAATTAGGTAATGGAAATGATTAGTTAGGAGGACGTAAGTTAGGGGGGCGGGAGAATCAGTGATGCGTTGCAGCTGAGATTGACGGATGCACCTTCTCCAATGACGAAATCGTTGCAGTCGACCACGTGAGCCTTCAAGTCTGGGTTCCTCTGTTGGAGAGTAAACAATAATTATTTTTTACTAATTTGATCAATGTAATTCGGTGTGATGTTGTTTAAAATAAGTAATTTGAATGTAATAATGAGGTAGTAATAATTGAGTCGTTGCATACTGACCAGCCATGATTTTCTGTAAGGGGTGAGAACTTCATACTGTTGATATCTTTCAAAACTCACATCCTTATCGGCGTCGACATCATCGTCGTCGTCAACATCATCTGTCCTGCAGCCAACGTCATCATCATCAACGAAGACGTCATCATCAGCATCGTGGTTGTTGCTTTTATCATTGTTGAAACTTTTGGTCAGGTTGTCAAAACTTTTGTTGATTTTGAAAATTTTGTTTTTGGTGGGTTTAAATTTTTTGAATCTGTTGAACTTTGCAGGAGATTGTATGTAGGATGAGGCTGCTGACGAAGTCGAGGATGGCGTGACGCTAGATGATGGATTCACAACTTTTTTTGCCATTTTTGAGTTTACCTGGATTGATATTAAAACAGAATTAGTATTATTTCTATCTCACGCTAACTAATGCAGAGCAAACAAAACATCATATGTATTAATAATCACGCATCGCCCACACAAAAACATTCACCATCACATCATTATGATGACATCTACTTCACCATCACATTCTATTCTAACCTGTTTCATTAATTTTCTCTTGTTATTCTTCGGCAGACTACTGATGTAGTCATATAGTTCTGTTAGCGCTTTGTTCGTGTCCGTTTCTTTGGAAGCAGTCAGGCAAGCTTGCTTGTCTGTGAATGAGATGGTTGTTGTAATCTCGTCACTACTACAGCTGGTGTTGCCGGTGTTGCTGTGCTTTTTGTCATTCTTCCTGATGTCTATGCTTAGATTGATGCTGGCTAAGATTGAAAGGTTCTCTTTCTCTAAAGACTGTCAAATGAATAGAAATAATTTATCATTTTTAGCATGAATTAATGTTGTTATATTTTATTAAAAATGCTAATTTTAAGCGGATTGCCATCAGACAGATCATTCAAACAACCCACCTTCCTCTTTTGAAGACATCGAGATGGCGAGAAGTTACCAAGTTTGTAAGCCTTTTTTAATTTCGTGAATGCAGATGATGATGTTGAAGTTACAGACGATGTTGCAGACGATGTTGCAGATGACGACGACGATGATGTCTTAGTTAGTTCATCACCTAGAGAGGCACGCTTGCTTAAGAACTTTCTATGCAACTGCATGATGTCTGACCTCAGATTATCGGGTATGTTGAAGATGGCTTCATTACTTCTGATCATGAAAGAAATTGTTTCAGTCAGTGCTGGAAGCTTTTGGAACAATTCCTTGGCATTCATCTGCAGTGAAAGTATTTGAAATATTTTTATGAAAAACTATTTGTTTAAATGAATGATAATTTAACAATACAATTGATCAAATAAATGCTTATAAAAACAGAATAGTTGCCAACATTTTTTGGTACAAGTAGATGAGGTACAAATATTGTAGCCAAGCTGTCATGGGACATGAGTGTTGCATCCTTCTTGCATATTGAGACCATCAGGTTGATCAGCATTTTGAAGAGTTTGAGGTTTTCATTCGGTATCAACCTCATCAGCAACTGTATGCACTCCAGTTTCTTTGATTCGTTAAAAATACCTGTTTATAAACATGTCCTAATTATTATTACATTAGTTGAAACATTTTTAAAACAAATATAAAAATAAAGTTAAATAAAATTTAATAAAATTTTTTAAATAATTACCATCAAGTTGGCAGTATGCGAAGAAGTTACTTTCAGCCAACAAAGGTTCTGGAAGTTCCCCAAGAAATGATTTTAAAAGATTGGCGCAGTCATGAGATGTGTATGAATTTAATGCCAACTCATTTCTTATGTCTACACCCTCATCCAGATATGTCCTCAGCACTTTCTGTCTAGAAAGGTTTCCTGTTTTCCTGAAAATTCCCTCTGTTAAGTCTGAAAAAATTTGAAAAAATATTGTGAAAGTCAGTTGAAAGTAAATGAATATGGAATTTACACTGTTTTCATTCTAGCAAAATTAATGTAATATATTAAAACTCAATCGCAAAGAAATAAATATGTAATAAACTAGGATGGTAGGAAAATAAATTACTTTGATCACAGTTGAGATGCTCAAAAAGTGGCTTGATGAGTTTGAGGACATCTGTTGTTAGTGGACATCCAAAACAGGAACCACTTTTCACTTTGTTATCTATGTAAATATTTTAAATAAATGGTTTAGTTTATATATTATTTACTAGGCAAAAATGAAATTAGTCTCAAATCTATAATAAACAAAATAAAATACTAAATTATTCAATATTAATTAATCATTAATAAATATTTCACCCCCTTGCTTGCTAATCTAGCATATATTTTAACATGAATATTCTAGTGCTATATAATTATTATTATAACATATAAAAGATAAACTAATAAAATAAATAATAAACATAAATAAAATTATGATATAAAAAATAAAAATATAACTTACCTTTTGTAAACTTGCGAGTTATCCCTCTAAAAAATCTCTTCTCTGCCTTGCAAGAATCCTGGTGATCCTTGTTTTTCTCGGTGTTGGCAAGGATTTCAAGTTCATTATCTGGCAAATCAAGTAGGAAGCTCAAATGCATCAAACACAAACTCGTCAGCTTCTCTGGATCGTTTGAGCAGATCCACCTCAGGTAGCGATTAGCACCCGTAGGTGACAACAACGACATCGATTCGGACATTCAAAATCTATTCAACCAAATCGCATAAAAACCAAAATAAATTTATAATTTAAAATAATTACGCTATGAATTAAAATAAATTGAATCAGTTTAAAAGTTGCGCTCGCACAACTGTTTAAATGTGAACTGTTTTGAAATGTGAAGGATGCGTTTTTATATACGGCACGAACAGATCAACCTCGCTCGTAAATTTAACACGGAATAATGATTTTACAACCGGCGACTGTTTTTACTAACAAATCAACGCCGTAATTTAATCAAAGTTCATTTCAATCCTCTTTTTTACGGCACACCTTACTAGCATTGGCCCTGCATTATACGACTGCCACTCAGATGGTAAAATAAATAAGTGAACTGAACACCCCCCAATAATGAATGAACCCACCAATAAAAAGAAACAAATTTTATTAGTACTTCGACAATTGAGAAGCATAACATGAAAAAATTCATTCAAGCAACTTAAAACGAGAAAGAAAAGAATGGTGAAATTGAAACTCCTATTGAACTAAACAGACACGCGTACCGTTATAAGAAAATGATGATCACAATCATTACATTGCCATCCCCATTGCATGACAACTGAACATGCAATAGCAACACGCCATAAAAAACATCAACATCGTACATTTGCTTCAAATTAAACAACTTAATTTAATCCCTTTTAGAACATATAAACCTTTCATTTCATCCTTAATTTAAAATGATAACAAAAGCCGGTAAGTGATCATTGATTTATAGCAGCTGGCTAACATTAGTTACGTAAGGTCACTTGAATTAAATATAAACTTAACATAGAAAACATCATAAAAAGGACTATTACAATCATTACGAAAAAGAACCTACAAATTTGAAGATAATGAACAACACGCACGTCCCACGTACATATTTGCAATCCAAATAAATTAATTTAAAAATAAAACGATTAATGATTAATAAATAAAATAAAGACAATTTTCTGACGAGTAAATTAAAAAATATGATATTATTTTTAGCATAGCAGAAGTGATGATATATAACATTTAACTCAATTCATAAGATTTCTAAATAACTCTCACACATGCATACAGACTTACTTCGGTAGCAAGTAGCCAACATTAAGCGTCAGCTGTACATGTTATTATGATGACTAACAATATAATTTTATTTATTTCAAAATAATAATAATTCAACAGAACGAACGATTGCTATCAAATTGCATACAAAATAACGATTTTAATACTTTTAATAAACATTTTCCCAAATAAAAATTTAATATATTAGGATGTTGTAACAGCATCATTCTTGTTACAGATGATAATTATTAACTTAATGCTGGTATTTACTAAACCATGACATGTCTCAGATGAAATGAATAGAAAATTTTTAAAATTGAAACGAAAAAATTTGAGAATCATAAATTTGTTATTGAACCTCCAGGTAATACAATAAAAAACATTCAAAAGGTAATTAAGAAACAATAATTATGAAAAAAAAATTTTAGTTTACAAATAAAATAATAAATATAAAATAAAGGATGTTATATAGAATCTCTTCACTTAAATTACGTACTACTTATTTCAACAAGCCACAAACAGCAGTCATCAATTACTCGAAAGCAATAACTGAAATTTGTACTTGAAAAAAATCTTAAATTAAAAAGTAAGCAAATAACTTAACTGCATAATAAAAAACAAATTAGGACACCATAAAATGATATTCAACACAAATACAATTAGAATAATAATAAATATAAATTAAATAAAAAGATGCCGATGCTTCTTAATGATCAGATGCAAAATGAAATTGCGATCAATTTTGTTACAAATGCATGGCAAACAATGCAATGAATCAATATTCCTTCATTAAGTAATTGATCATTTATTCGTTTATAACTTCCCTTATTTTATTCTTTTTACTGATAAAACCGCTTTTAATACAAATGTTAACAATTTTCCCAACTAACGCAATGTAATTAATCTCCTTCAATTATTGTTATTTTATTCTTAACTTCGACACATTTGTTCTTACTTACACCCTTTTAAACTCAAAATAAAATACATTCCAAACTCGCCATAAGTTTACTTAGATGCATACTCAGTCAAAAACCTCACACACACTCGCAATGGCTAGTAGCAACTTTTGTTACATTCATCTATTCCGTACTATAAAATAAATCATTTGTCATACTTCCAATTATTAAAATTATTATTATTACTATAATTTAGCACTACAACGGACGCCCTCTTACGCCCATCCAGTTAACCGACCAAATTCAAAGCACCAAATCAGACAGACACATTAAATTCAATCATATGCAACTCTACGTGCACAACTAACTCACAATCAGGTTATTTTTATCATCATCATCATCATTCATATATCACAGGATAATTTGCATAACCAGTTAATTGATAAAATAATCAATTAACTCAAAATGAAAATTATCGCATCGTCATTATAATTGAAACACAACTGAATAGCAAAAAGTTATGCACACGTGCGTGCATACAACTGAACGACACAATCTGACTGATGGTTGGTTGACGGGCAGGCAATCCCTGATAACTCCATTCACTAATTTCTAGGCACCATTCTCCTTGGGATGGTCTCCACCGGCTGTGCTCTTCTGCAATCTGGCCGTCTGCCTCGATATCTCCACCTGTCCGTGTCAAACATTTCATCTCCAATACAGTCACTACAAATTAATAAATTGCTTGCACAACATCCACTAACATCCTACTTAACCATTTTATCTGGCAAAAAACAAAAGATAACAAACACTGAACCGTAGAATTAATAAACCAAATAAAGACCTTCAGAGGTCTGTCCTCCAAGGTCAGACCATCCAGATGTTTGAGACAGTTGTTGACGTCCTCAAGGTTATCAAAGATTGCAAATGCATGAGTCATTTCATTCTTTTTAACAACACTGGCCGCCTTCACATCCTTTTTGGACAGGAAATCAGAAAATTCATCGGCTGTCCACTCTTTTGGCAGTTCCCCAACATATATGGCGGGCTTGAAGTTCTCACCACCACCACCACCACCACGATATGAGTTGTACCCCCTCCTGATATTTTGAAATATAATGAAATAGAAAAACTGAAGATGGAGAGAAAAAAAAAATGAATGAGCGTGAAAAAAGTACAAACCTCCTCTGCCTGCCAAAGAATCTTCTCGCACCTCTCCTGAAGCCACCCCCTCCCTGCCTCCTGTTCATCTGCTGTTGTTGCTCATTCCCTCCATCCAGGTCACCATTCTCTTTTGTTGAAGTTTTTCGTTTACGTTCCATTTTCTTCTGATCCTTCACAATTACAAATTGAGAAAAGATTTGTATTGCTTGATCCAAAACATACAGTAATGAATACAAAATGAAATGAAACAAAATATAAAGAATGCAGCAAGAAGAAGAAGAAGCAGTAGCAACCAGACGGACCTTCCTGTCGCTGTAGCTGATCCTGCGACCTCTCGGCTGCTGCCTCCTCCCCATTCCACCTGCCCCATTGTTGGTTTCCATGGCAACTGCCTCCTCAAGGGTTGTCGGATTTTCTGTTTCTCCCATGAGGCGAACATCCTTACCACTTTTCCACTGATTGTAACGTAAACTCTTCAAAATGAACAATTTGTCCATTTGACTCTCTGCCACCATCGACCAGCATATCTCGGTCTTCTTGCTTGATTTTGGGCATTGGATCACCTGTTTTTTCACCAGTTTAAACATTAAAGTTTAATTCTGGAACAACTGAAAAACAGATTAAAGTAATCAAGCAAGCAGACGAACCCTAGTAGGAGTAACAATGAAATCCACAGGCAGATCATGTGGTCCCTTGCTTTCAGGTAGCTTACTGAAAACCTGACAATCGTGCACCAACGTCACCACCACTGTATCATCAGTCACAAATCCAAGCGATGATAGGATGGCAAACTCCAACTCTCCAAGTATGTCATCCTTGCAGGTTCTCTGTCCTTTTATGGTAGTGACGATGAAGATGACGATGGGGATAGTGATGATGAAAACTCATAACATCTTTAACAAAGAAAAATATCTATAAAAATGTGAAAGAATAAATAAACTCAAGCAAAACATCCAAAACAATAGTAGCAACAAAATAGTAAGTAATAACAAGAATATTATCATAGAAATAGCACAAATGAAACAGAAAGGAAAAAAATGTTAATAAGAATGAATAAATTTATTCTTCATCCATCAATCCATCTAAGCATGAGAGGAATTCAAAGAATGCAGATTATTTGTTATTTCAACTGATACAAAACACCTATGCATTGCAGAACATAACATTAGTAACCTAACAATAATAACATCAAGACACTAGCGCGCACACACACACACACACACACACACACACACACACACACACACACACACACACACCTACTCATACATCCATTCACAGATAGTATTCTTTGAGTAAATAAACATTCTAACACAGAAAAAAAGATACATCAAAATGAAGAAGCATACAAAACCTTCTAACATAAAAATACAGACAGAGACACACAAACAAATTCAGCAAAATAAATTTAAAGACTGTTAATGATGTTTGTGTTGATTAGCCATATCACACATAGGTGATATGAGACCAATAATGAAAATAAACATTTACACACACACTCACAATAACATAAAACACACATAAAAATTAGCTATGCTTCTAACAAGAGCCTTAAGATAAAAATAATGAAAACAATACCATCAATTAGGATGACAAACAATTGTGGTAACTTTGGAAGTGATAATATGATGTATGATGATTAATAATAACAAGGATGGTCACGGCATGATGTATATTGAAATTGATACAAAAGCAACTCCTGTGATAAGAAACAAACAAGATCAGTAGCTATGTAACTATTATAAATTGATCAATCTATTATTGATCATGTTACTAGGTAGAAGAAGGAAGGATGGGTCACTATTAGCAACATGATGTTGCACTGCTACATGAAATATTATAAAATATGAATATCATTGTTGTGTAAAAGAAGGAAAGCATACTACATTTTTTAGAAGAGAGAATGAAATTTGAAACATTTTTGCTTATTTCTATAATAAGAAATAAATGAAACAAAAAATCTTCTAAAACAATGGTTATCATCTTTCATACATTAACTAGCACACTTATTCATTCATTTACTTATTCATTATTTCAGTCACTTACCTGACTCAGACACGGCAACGGAGGAAACCAGCAAAACATCAAATTTCACTTCCCCGGCTGCTATGTGATGAATCCTATCTCCCATTATCTTTAGAGTTTACAGTTCAATTGATATTTACAACGAATTTTGTGAACAAAATGCATAAAATGTTTTGAAATTATTTACTTGATACTCAATAAACACATTTTCATCACATAGATTGAGAATGAACAGCAAATAACATTGAGACAACATCAAATTCAGAGAATAAAAAACAAAACCATGAGTGCGCAGATGAAAAACAAACTACATCAAGACAACATCACAGACTGACCAAATTGGAGCACTGTCTAAGATAACGAGAGTTGGCTTTCTCAGGAGCATCCACTTTGCACACTGTCGACATTGATGACTTGTATGTTGTCACATACATTACAGACTTCTCCTGATCAATTGATGAATTTAAAAATTTTCCATACAAATTAAAACTTTTCTCTGAGGAACTATTAAGAGGGAAGTCAAGTAGAGCAAACAAAATAGAAAAAGATGCAGACCTGCAAAATTCTAAGACGAACATCCTTCAACAACTTCTCCATGCTGAGAAGCAACTTGTCTGTCTTCTTTATCAAATCCAACTCGAGCAGCTTTTCAATTGCAGCATCAATACCCTACAATAATAAATTTTATGAAATTGTTACCAGAAGAATTAAAATTTTTAAATATTTTACAAGGTTTGGTAGAGAGACTAACCTTGAAAATAGGAACAAGTTTGTATGGCAAAGTGGGGCTGATCAACTCATCTTTATCATAAAGATTGTTCCACACCTCTTTGCGAATTTGGGCAATTTGGGCATCTGAAGCGAACAGTAAATTTCATTTTTGCAAAAATAAAAAACCGTAAGAAGAGAAAACTGCAATTCCACAGCACAACACAGCAGAGGTAATAAAATAAAAAAAACAAATTAAAGATGCACAGTAGCACATTCATTCACGTGGTAACCTGATGCTTGTAAGGCCATTTTCGCTGCTTTTTGCAGAACTGAAACAAAAAAAAATTTATGAAACCGAAATATTAAAAGTTTGTGAAAAAATTTAAGCAGAAAATTGGTCAGACAACGCGGCCGACGCAATACCATGACCGGCACTCGTACAAAAAGTTCTTATGAAATTTAAATGTTGTAAAATGAAAGTAGAGAATTAATTAGTCAAAAAAAATAATTTGAAAACATTTTTGAACCTTCCACGCCGAATTTTTCCTCCTCAAACAAATTTTAGACGAACCCTCAAACGATTTTCGGAAACACTGAAAATGGCATTTACGAGAGCAGCCAATTAGATTCAAGTAGGTCACATAGGCGAGTTCTTACATTTTTCAAGCAATCCGTTAATTTTTGAATAGCGCAATTTACATGACTTTTGCAGCTTCCCCACCTAGGCAGGCAGAACAACCAATCACCAAGTGGTAAACTAAATAAAAAAAGAACATGAACATATGACAGAATACAAAATATAAAGTCGGATGGCAATTCGATATCAGAATTTATCTGCAGGCATGGGTACATACAAACATTCAAGATAAGCATACAAACACAAATATTTACACACATCACGTATAAGACAACTATACAAATTTTAAATGAACTAGATGAAAATGATAATATGACATAAAGACATTAAAAATGTGGGAAACAATACAGTATGAACCAGAAATAAAATGCCTTCATAAAGATTAAACGAGTAAAACATTGAAAACGTTAGATATAAATAAATAAACGAACCAAATAAAATAAAAAAAAATCATTTCATTCAGTCTAATAAAATTTAAACAAACTAATCATTATAGCAAAACAATCAATCAGGCAATCAAACTGGCGATCAAATAACCAAATAAAAAATTATTCAAAATATCAATAACAAATCAAACAATCTATAAAACATTGCATAGAAAAAGTATCAAGCAACTGCAAAACCAAGCGATGAAACCGATTACAAATCATAAAATAATCAAGCAATTAATCAATCAGTCGGTCGGTCGGTCGGTCAGTCAGCCAGCCAGCCAGTCAAAATTTTTAACAGGAAAGTTTTGAGACCCCGCCTAAATAATGAAAATGATTTAGAAGTGTGAGAAACAGGTAAAAATTTCCATGAAAACGGATCTGAGCAGGAAAATGCAGACTCAATCTAAGTATTATTTATCTCATAAGTTTCATATTTCTAAAAAAAAATTGGCATGAAAAATTAATTTTTTACAAGTTATATAAATCGCATCAGCAGTAAAAGAATTTCAAAAATAAAGCAGAATACTACCAGTTTATTGACAGATAATCACACTATGATAACTTAAGCCAATAGATTGCAGAAGATACCTGCCTAATGAAAAATGGCAATGTAATAGCAAACACAAAAAAAGTTATGCTTTTGGCCATTGTATAGAAACACAATTTACATTATAAGTATTATTGAAATCAACAGAAGCCAAGACAAATGTCTTCTTGACTGTTGTGGCCTGCCTGCCCATCCTTATCAACTGGAGAAGATTTATGGCTTCATCATGCTGTACACACAACACAATGTAAAAACTGTGGTACCTTGATGGGTCTCCTGTGTGTATGTGTGAGTGTGTGTGTATGTTCATCTCAATATCAATCTCAACTTGCAATCATTCAACAAAATTAATAAAATTCAACTAAAACAGGAAGCATGTTAAATAATTGTGAAGCAGGGAATAAGTTAATGACACGATAGACAGAAACCATACAGGCATCAAACAAACTTTAAATTTCTCAAGTTGAAATTTAAAAAAAATTATGAATCACATTGAAGAAGAACCTGGATAAACTAAAAAGTCACCACCAAATTTCAAACCACTTGTGATAAAATAATTTTGCTCCCAAAAATATTTAAAAACATAATATTTCTTGTCCAAATGAAAATCGATACTACTCTTCCAAGCATATTGAGCTTTATTGTCTTTAATTTTTTCACTTGGATATCGACCTTTGAGAGAAAATTTTTGATGTTCAAAAATAATAATTAATATTTAAAAACAAATAAAAATAAAAAATAAAACACTGACTTGTGTGTGTCTGAACAAGTGCAGAAGATTGTGATAATTTTAAGCAGTCAATTCTCTTTCTCTCCACTAACAATTCCTCTTCAATTTGCTTTGACAGATCTGCAGCACTGATTTCATCATTTTGATTAAAAATTTTTTTTCTCTTACCATCAATTATTTTCTGCATGTTAATTTCCATTTGGTGATGTTTTTCCTTCTTACACAAGGCTACCTGTTATAATAAATTAGTTTCAGTTGACTGTCATTATATTAGGAATAATTAAATTAAGATTTTAATATTTTATAAAAATTAATCAAACATTTATAGATGAAAAAACAAAATCTTTATCTCACTTGTTCATCAAAAACTTGCTTCCTTTTCTGGGCGATCAATTGAATATGATTTTTGGACTTTTTTATTGAGAATTCATCAACTATACAAGCAAATCCTTTAGAAAATATTCATTAACTTTGGTTTATAAAATAGTTTAACATGTGAATATAATATTTTATTATTGTAGATATAACATAAAAAAATAATAAAACCTTTTTCAACAAGCAGCCTTGCTTCACACTGCATAAGAAGAAGAGGCAGGCCCATCTGAGCATTCTGCAATGGAGAACTTGGTAGGCAACCAACCATGTTCCCCACTATTCTGAAAACCTTTCTAACCTTGCAAGCATCTTGAAAAATTAATTTTGATTATAAAAAATAAGATTAAAAATGAAATCATAGTCTTAATTAAGTTTACTTTATAATGGCAAATAATATGCCATGGTCAAATAAAAATTTCAAAAAAAATTCACAACATATTAGAAGCGGAAAAAAACGAAATAAACAATAAACCTTCAGCAGTCCATATGAAATAATTTTCATTTGAAAAAAAAACTTTGATCATTGCTTTATTTTAATTAACTACGACTGTCGATTGAGACGGGCGGACGAGTACTCTTTTATACACTAACTTTTAATGCAAAGAAAATTTAGCAATGTTAAGCTCTAAAAAGAAAAATCATCACACAGGCTATCGGTGAAATTTAAGCATACCACCTTCCCCATACATGCCCTCAATAATCTTATGAAAAAATACTTTAAAAATCGATTAAAAAGTTTACAACTTTAACTTTATATAAATGCAGTGGTGGATCTAGGAGAGTCGGGAGGGCATGGCCTGCCCCTTGTGAGCACTGTCCTGGTAAGAAGTCAGAAGTAGTACTTTAGATAGATAGATAGATATGTATAATGTAAAGAAGAACATTTAAAAACTTTTCCATGAAAAACTGAAGTTAATTTGAAGATAACTTCAAAGCAGGTACTACAATTATAATTGATCACGATAAGTTATGTTTTCAAGAAACAAGCAAACTTCTATAAAAAGATACACGCACACACACGCACACACACGTACGCGCACAAACGCATTAAAATTAAATAATAATCAATGGTATTCAACATTCTGATATACCAATCTCATTATAAGCGTTAAAAGTATTATAACATGCAAACCAACTGTGAAAAAACAAACTTCTTTTGTGTCATTACCTCCATCTTCATCATCACCATCTTCATCATCACCATCTTCATCATCATCATCACCATCTTCATCATCTTCATCATCATCATCTTCATCATCATCATCATGTGCGCATCATTGTATGTTGAGACGATAAGATAAAAATAACTCATACAGTCTTCGAAGAAGGAAGGAATGAGGTTCAAAATATAGCAATAATAAAAATTATTATCTTTTTTATTTATTATTATTATTTTTATTCTAATGAAAAAGAGGAGAGTGAGAGAGAAAGAGAGAAAAAGAGAGAAAGAGAGAGAGAGAGAGAGAGATTGTATTGTTTAGCAAAGTATAAAATTTGTTTACCTGCTCTTTTTTTAACGTTGATTTTTATTGTTAACGATTTCGTTGTTGATGTTGTGTTGATGTAGTTGTTGTTGCTGCTGCTACAGCTGCTGCTGATGGGGATGATGATAATGATGTTTTTACTGTTGTTGTTGTTGTTGATGATGATGATGATTATGATGATGACGATGTTGCTGTTTTTTTTTGCGTAGTTTTAAGTTTCTTTACCAATAAACTTATCAATATGACCCTTGGAGCTATCAATAAATCAATAGATACGTTAAGTTTATGTTACTGTGTTGATAATGAAAATAACAACAACAACTATAATAATAATTATAATATTATCATTATATTTCATTATAATATTATTATTGTTGTTATTCTTATAATTTTTATTATGAAATCAGAAGCAATTGCAAAAGTTTTAACATCGCAAAATATTAACGTTCGCTGGAAGGGTTTTATGATATTTCTGCTCAAGTGCGTGCGTGTGTGTGTGTGAGTGTGTGTGAGTGTGTGTGTGTGAGTGTGTGTGTGTGGTGAGAGAGAGAGAGAGAGAGAGAGAGAGAGAGAGAGAGAGAGAGAGA